AGTGATTGATAACTTTCAAATATTAGAAGAAGGATGCATTCTTCTTCGAATAACTACGGCAAGCCAATGAAAATATTTGAGTAAAACAGATGAGCAGTAACAATCAACATTGACCTGTCTCTCTCTCTCTCTCTCTCTTGAGGTTATTTATCGCGAGCAACTGAGATTTCTACCATCCATCATATAAAAGATAATGGTTCGGTTCGCTACGTTATTTATTGAGTTCATTCAGAATGATTGACCAGAAACTATGATGAACTTCTGACGAAATCACTAAAGTCTTAATATAAATGAAAAAAAAAAAAAATCAACTAAACCTACATACTTTATGAATAGAGCAAACCTTTGTTCATCGCTATTTTTGCATTCTTAGCGGACCGAAGTTTAGCATTGAGAGATGTGTCCGTTTTGTACACTTCGCCATGCGTGATCAAGTAGTTACGAATCGCGACTATCATGTCAGTGTTCGGGGGTTCAAATGTCAGCGTGCTCGAATTTCCTTTGGTCGCACCCATAGTAAGTGCTCAGTCGATTAGGATATAAAACACTAACTGATTGAGTGCACGCCCACTAGACTGCAGCCTATTACTTCACTTCTTCCTCACATCTTTCTAAGCGTCGCCGTATTGGGCGCACGCACAGGATCATATCACCCAGTTCAATTGGTCGTATCAAAAAAGAAAGAAGGTCGAGTTAAAGTGCAAATATTGCAGAGTACAGGAAAAGTGTACATGTGGACACATGCAGATGCCTCGTCAAATCCTATAAGCCTATCGTAAATCACAAATGCTCGTCATATTCTTACTTTGAGTCATTATAACGGCAATTTTATTTCTAAGACACACAGATTTATCTCATCGAATACAAAACATATTGACAACCGAAGGCGGGTCCTTTCCCGTATACGCAAACAAATGCCAAAGAAATCATAATTTATGGCTTATTACAGATGCTTGTGTAAAATACTTGCAAGGCTGACCTACCTTGGAGACCTTTTGCAATTATCCAAATTATTGGCAACCAGTTATGGTGCGGACGTACATAACACCCCGAAGGACTTTAGAATACAGACGTCTGGCCGTCTTAGCGGGAACAGCCGAAGCAGCGCGTTTGCACTTGCTTTACTTTACGATTAGTTCAATATCATCATTATTAAATACGTGAGCGAGATGTGCCGCGACCTAGAAGATCTATTGTATGTTCAGGATTTTTATGGATCCCTTCGTCTTGTTGGATCGGAGCACCATACTGTGTCCGTCGTAGTAAAATGCTCGACAAACACTTGGTGTCTGATTCTGCAGATGGCCTCACATAGAATATGTTGGCACGTTTCACCCACGTTTTTCAGATGGTACCTGAGGGAATTATGACCAGTGTAGAAGGCGGTCTCTTCTTTTTAGTTCCAGTAGTTTCCAGTATTTCAAGGCACTCTAACACCAGCCTAAACGTTGTCTTTCGCCCCCATAGGAACTTTAAGGCGGCTTGGTTGTCGGAGTATATGCAGAGCCGCTCTTAAGCATTCAGGGAATTCCGTACCAGTTGCAATAGTTTTTATAAGCCAATTCTTCCAGTTTTTTTTCCTTTCAGTGGAAATTCAACACAAGTTCTACTGATGCCAAGTTCCAACTTTCGATATCAACCGCCACGACTGGGAATTTGAAAAACGGACAGTCACAACGATAAGAGAAATTTGTCATTGATAAATACATATCGAAATTCATTATTGACAAATCTCTGATGCAGCAATAGCGACATACATTATCATCTACTTCCGATTTGCCGATTAGTCTGCTAGCAATCATTTATGGTAAAGAAAACGAAATGCAGTCTAGACTACATCAGGAAACAATCAGGAATGACTCTATATATTTTAGAATCATCATGGATAGATTAAGCCAGAGTTCTAATATCCCGTTATCCCCCATGTACGTTATGTAAGCACGATGATGGTCAAGAAGTATAGGTATAAGAAGTATAGGTATAAAAAAAGTAAAAAAGCTGTAATTAGACAACGTCTACCATGCGCCACCCTACACGACTTCGTTTAATTAATAATACACCAAAAAGTATACATTATTTTTATGAAAATGCAAAAAAAAATATAATACATTATTTCTATGAAAATGCATAACTTTTATGAAAGCCCTCATATTGGAAGATACTCAAACGTTAACGTCGGCTTAATTTAGCAAACTCAATTTCACTTGTCAAAGACTTTATTATTCTCCAGTTGCTCTTCCATCACAAAAACTATACAAAAAAAAAACACTTAGCTGCCATAAAGGGGTTTGGTTGTCTATATATGATGTATTCTACAAAATAGATCTATGCAATCCAAATTTCCTATGACTGATTTAATAAACGCAAATTTTCATCATAAATTAATAATAATTGAACCTATTTGGCATATAAAGTCTTATTGTTCATTAGAATTCTTATATGCGTTGGACCTGCATGGTCCAAGTTCGATAAGACTTCGGTATGAACGAATGAATTGAAAATTAAACCTTTCACCATATAAAGATATTCTTTCCGTCGTAACGGTTATATAGCAAGAGATTTTAAAAGTCGCCTCAACCAATCCAAAGTTTTCAAACGAACTTCGAACGCCGAATTACTATTATCAAGCGATTTTTATCGCAAAATTCCAAAAATTACAATATTTTTATTATAACAACTTATCAAAATAAAGCGTTATATGGGAAGTAATCGCAAAATTGGTTCGATCCGAACCATTTTTACTAGCGTTCGCTCTTCGGCCGAAAAGAATCAGTTCGCCAATCCTGCAAGGTGAACACTAGAATAAATGGAAATACATCAGACGAACGGACGGCCGGACAAGCTTACATTGGTATAAAAAATATATGAATTTGTCTCAAATTCTTTTTGGTGTTGCACATAGGGTATAAAAAAAGGAGTAGACCGTCCACACATTTGGTTTAAAAGCGTGCGTCAAAGAAACATAACACAATCCAGATCAGGATCGAGCAAAATTGTTGTCAAAGTTGTAATTTCCGCGACTGTAGCGTTTAGTCCGTCCGTTCCTCTTTAATCCAAAATATCTCCACCGTCATCCTATATGAATTTATATATCATAACCTAAAAATTTCCATCTTTTCGTGTGTAAAAGTTTGAAAATGTTTCTTCTCTTTTTTTTTTAAGAATTTTATTCAATATATTAAAAACGCCATATGTACATATATAATCCTTTATATATGCATATATTAAGAGTACAATTATTTTGGTTTTTTTTTTTTTTCTCTATTATTTTAAGATTAGAACTTAAGTTAAATTTAATGTTGACGTTAATGACAAATACTAATATTTGTTTTTCTTCCTTTCTTTTCGTTTTTTTTTTTTTAAAGTTTTACTAATTTTGCTCAATAATGTAGTAAACTATTGCTATAAGTATATTTTTATGTTTTTTATGGTAAGTTGTAGCTGTTATCGATTTTATTTTATTTTTTTTTATTTATTTATTTATTTTTATTTTTTTTTTTTTTTTGTTTTATTGAAGTAAATAGTGTACGGCTTGTGTTGATAAAAAAAAGTTTTAATTAATTAAAAATAAGAAATAATATTCAACGGAAGACTAAAAAATCTTCTATAAAATTTTGTTATGATGAGAAAAAAATAATAATAATAAAAATAATAATAGTAATCATGATAATAATAATAATAATAATAATAATAATAATAATAATGATAATAAAACAAGACAATTATATTCGCCTTAAGGCAAATGTTGTTTACCCATATCCACCATTATTTTACTTTTACTTTTATTACACAGCCTGCAAGTCAGAACAAATATATGTGACAGACAAGATGTAAAAGTTTCGTAAAAATATATCGTATAAAACTGAACTGATTTTTACGGTTCAAAGCAATTGGCATGACTTGCAGCCTTCCCGAACCTATTTGGAAAGAGAATGGTTCTCGTTAATCAACATTAATCATGTTTGTATGTTTTATTCGATATGAAGCATTCCAATTGTCTCGTTCAAGGTCATACTTAATAATCATATGCGAATCAAATCGAATCGGAAAGCTTAATAGAAAACATTTTCACCCCAAGCATTCAATAATGAGTTTTTTCTTTCACTAATTTTCACTGGTGGAAAGCTACTCCTATATATTTCTATTAGGACACTTACGTTTAAATTCGTTATAGTTGAAATTCTTGCATATTTTCCGGAATTATAATTTACAAATTTCAAGGCATCGAACTCGAATGTTTGAACCAATTTCCAAATTCTCACCTTTCAATTATCGAAGTTCAAGTTAACGGTTTTTATATTTTCTCTTCCCTTTCCCCCTTTATATCGAATTCAGTTGACACTCGTCGTCATATCTACTGCTTAGAAAATTCTATTCGAATTATTTTTTTTTTTTTTTTTTGTTTTCTTTTCTTTTTTTTTACCAAATTCCAAGTTTCAAATTTTATTTCTTATAATGCAATTTTTAAATATCAAATTTACTTTTCTATTGAAGTACAAAATTTATAATGGCTTATTATGAATATCAAGTTTCCAATAACATCGAATCCCAAAATCGTACGAATTTCAATTTACGAGATGCTCAAGTTAAATTTTACAATTTCAGAATTGCAACTTGAAAAATGGTTTAAGCCTATAAATAGATAAATTTATAGGTCTATAAATATTTTAATTATAGGAATTGACAGTTTCCAATAGCAAGCAATCAATACGGAAAAGATGGTCATAATTAAATTTATTTTATTTAGCAAATAAAATTCGAATGATGTATGCTTTCCCGATTAATTGTTAAATATGAGGGTTTGTTTTCTTCTTTTTTTTTTTCTCGTTTGTAAAATGTTACAATGTATGTGGTTAATGAGTATGCAAAGTAATCGGCTTTAGCCGAATTTAAATATCGCGCTCTTGTTTTTTGTTTGTTTGTTGGTTTTTTTCTTTTTTTTTTTTTTTTTGTTGATATAAATTAAAATTATATACAATAAAATTATTTTATTTTATTTTTGAATATTTTTCTTGTTTTTTTTTTTCTTTCTGTTGTTGTTGTTGTTGTTGTTCTATAAATATTTCGTGGCTGTGTAGGATATGTTTTAAAGAAATTTAAGTTAATATATTTCATTTTATTTCTTCATATGTGTTTATTTCTAGGGTTTGTAATCCGATCGTTAGCACAACTTAAAAAATGGTTCAAGGAAATTCTATAAAAATTTTTAAAATTAATTGAGAATTAATTAAATTGTAATATAATTTTTTAAAAGAAATAATTTCTCAAACAAACTTATTTTTATTTAATTTGATTATTAGGAATAAAACGCACTTTCGTTTGATTAACTAACGCCAAGTGTTGCTGATGTTGCTGCTGTTGTTGCTGTAACAATTGTTGCTGTTGTTGTTGCTGCTGTTGTTGCTGTTGTTGCAGATGCTGATTTAATTGCTGGGGTATAGATAAACCGCTAACGTTGTTAACAGCATTCTAAATTATATAAGAATAAAAATTTTATTACATTTTCTTTGTACTATTTTTTTTTTTTTTTTTAATGTAAATTTCCAATAAGCGTATATAAAATAATTACCTTATTTTTATTTTTAGGAGGACGACCACCTAATAAAATGGTTGCAAAAATTTAATGTTTTTTTGTTTGTTTTTTTTCATTTTTTTTTTTTTTTTTATTTAAATAAATATGTATGTAGAAGAAGGCATTGAAAACGAGAGACAAGAGAAAAGTTTTTTGTTTGTTATAAAAATTTTACAGAATTTTTTCTAAAATTGGAAATAAAATAAAGAAAATATGTTTTTCTATTTTTTTTTTTTTTTTTGTTTTTAAAGAAAATAAAAAGCAGGTTATAAACAAAGGAAAGAAATTTTAAGAAAATATTGAAAAAAATTAATAAATTTTACTTAATTTAATGGAGAAAATTTAAGAGTTATGATTTTTTTTTTTTTTTAATTTGATCAATAGTGTTAGAAAAATTTAGGTAAATTAAGAAAATTAAATTACAGTAAAAACTTTACATTGATTTGAATATTACTATAAAAAGAGATTTTTTAAACAGTTTGAAAAAATTATAATTAAACATGACAAAATTAAAAACAAATGCAATTAAAATGAATCAATATATATAGAAGCAGAAGAATCCATGTAGTAAAACACCAGGCTTTAATAATAGATATAAAACGGATCGGCTAGACTTCAATGCCAAACATATATAAAATAGAAATTTTAAATAAAACTCATAGGCTACCTTGCAACAAAAAATCGATTACAACAATTTTTTGATGTAAATTTTGAAATAAGTCTGACAAATGACCCATCATCAAGCTATAAGTCGTAATATATGAAAAAAAATATTTTGAAAAGTTTTATTTTTCCTTTCCTTTTTTTCTTTTTTTTGCAATTTTTGTGTCATTACATGCCCTTACAATGCTCTAACTATTGCGAACGCTTCCGGCTAATTTTTAGATTATACCTGTGAGGAATGTCGATTTCCTATGACATTTAAAAAGATTTAATCACATTTCAATCTCAAGCCAATTGAATATGAAATATATTATCTTGTTCGCTACATAAATAATTCATTCAGTTATCATATCTATTATATAATCCATTATATATTATCCCAAATTAGTCAAATGCCTATATATCCCATAGTATGTCTGAACGTTCCATATGTAACGACCAGAGGTAGTTGACAGATACTAAATTAAAACATACGTATATGTATACTTACTACTACTACTACTACTACTGAATGAAATGAAATTCAATATTCTATACTATTATCTTGAGAGTTAATAGAAATTAAAAAAAATTCAATTTTCATATAAGTTATTTAGATCTGCAATGGCATCTGTTATTATGTCATGGCCTGTAGAAAGATTAGATAATAACCTACCTATGATTTATTCATAATTTATTTAAAGTGCTTGAAAAAAAAAAAAATGACAGAAAAAATTTAATAAAAAAATAAAGAATTTTCAATCAATTATTCATAGTTTTCTTCTTTTTTTTTTATACGGGAAAACAATCTAACAAAAATTGTTGGATGCCCAAGCGAATAATATGTAAGCAGAGTGCAGGATGGATGTCAAAGATTAAAATTGTTACTTAAATGAGTTGAAATATCAAAAAATATTCGAAGCCATGTACAGAAGCCAATGATTTTAGGAATCAAACTCCTAAAAACTTATTTCAATTTTGGTTAAATTTGATAAAAATAAAAATTGAAGAATACTTTAAATAAAAAGAACCTTTGAGTGAAATCTAAGAGCACTGATAATATAGAAATTAATGCAAGTCCACAAGTCCGTTTCAGATGTTATGAATATTAATGATACAATGCATCATTGTATAATGAATATTATTTTCTTTGTTCAGCCTTGACATAGAGAACTGGAGATCTCAAATTAGTTACGTACATTCAGTTAATGAAGTTAAGGAAAACGATAAGCATTACATTAAGTGCTATTCTAATGGAATCTAATGATGAAAGTAAAATGTAAGTCGTTTCTTTTCACATATATATTTGCTTGAGGTGGATAGTAATAGATTCTGATGCCTTTATTCCCATACGTACATCCATTATCCCTTACATATATACAGAAATTTATATATATAGAGAGATAGAAAGAAAACTTTTCTAAAACAGTTCATCAATTCACTTAACTAAAACATCAATATTTGAAAGAGTATTAAGTAGAAAAAATAAATGTTATTCACGCGATAAAAGAATAAAGCAAATGCAACCGCCTATCACACAACACATTATACCGAAAGAGACATTTTGTTGTTTAGCCGCTTTGCCACTTTTTCACTTTAATAATCTTCTCTATAAAACATGCTGTCACGTCTAATATTTTCTCATTCTCTCCTTCGTCCAACTATAACTTCTTTTAAAACTTGGTTTAACCGTCACAAGCGAATTTACGGACGAGTCGTGGCAGTTTTTGAACTATGAAACTGCACTAAATTCATCCGCCAGTGTATAATAATTGAATTTTCTGTAATCAGTCGGTTGGTTGCCTTGACTAAAAGCAGCAATATTTGGTTCGGAGAATTGAAGTAATTGAACTCTAAGCGGATTTCTTAACCATTTTATTCGGTTCAACTTCACTTTCCTAGGAACTTATAAGGCAACTCTTATCTAGCCCCTTACACATCTGCGTGGCAATGGAGAAAATTAGAAGAAAACCTCATTACATAAATTAAGAAAACTTGGACAAAAGTGCTTACAACTTTATATACTGTATGGGGTCCCGTTATATAATTTTGGAGATTGTAAATGAATAAGAAAGCGTATATATATATATATATATATATACCTATATACCTATACACCTATATATATATATATATATATATGTATATACCTTAAAAATACGCATGCATGCATACCTACATATATACACATATATGTATATTTTCATTTATTGTTCAGATTTATATTATATATATATATATTTATTTATATACATATATAATGAATGTATTATATCTGAAGAATAAATGAAAACATTTAAGTAAGATTTAGTGGAACGCATAAAAAAAGAAAGAAATGAACGAAAGAGGGGCAAAAGAATTGTTTAAAAAATCTCTATTCTTTCGTATTTTGCTTATTTGCTTGTGTGATTTTTAATTATCTTCTTCTTTTACAAACATACGTTGTGGCGCATGTTGCAGCGACAATGGCTGACCGATCATGGTGACGGGCTGAGGTTGTGGAGGTTGCAGAGTTATTGGTTTTTTCGAACGTTTTGGCGGCGGCAGCTCTGTGTGCGAGTGACTATTTAACAAATGTTTGGAGAGATGTTGGCGAACAGCAAACGACTCATTACAATTGGGCACAGGACAAGCGATGTATCTGTAAACACATAAGTAAGTTTCGAAAAGAAGAGAAAAAGTTTGCAAATTAATTTCTTTTTAATTCGTTATCATTATTCCAGAAGAAAAAACAAAACAAAAAAATTATTATGGGTTAGCATGCGAACTTAAGTTCTTGCCAGCACCTGCCCTCTAAATGACGTTGCTCATGTTTTTTCAGCAACGATTCCTGATTAAAAGAACTAGGACATATATTGCATTTGAATTTAAACTCATCATGCATTTTTAAATGCTGGTCCAGATGGGCTTGCTGCAAGAATTTCTCATCACATTTCGAGCATTCAAAGGGAAAGGCCAGACCATGCGATTTCATGTGAGTGTGCAGTTGCGATTGTTGTTTAAAGGTTTTTTCCGGACAGCGCGGACAATAGTACCCGGTTATGCCGGCGTGTGCCTGCAAATGTTGATTGAGCGACGTGACTTGCGTAAATTTCTTCGGGCACTGATTGCAACAGTATTGTTGAACTTTATGGTGGGTCTTCATATGATTATTGAGATTTGTAACCTGAGCAAACGAACGACCGCATTCCGGTTCGATGCATACAAAAGGTCGTTCACCCGTATGCAAACGACGATGATTATTTAAATTTGTGATCTATTTCGAATATAAAATAAACAGAAAAAGCATTTATTGAAAATCAAAAATCATTTATTAATTAAAAAATGCCCCATATTATTCTCTTACTTGGGTAAACGTTTTACCACAATCACCACATACGTAGGGACGATCGTTGGTGTGTATGCGTTCATGGTTTCTTAAATTGGCCGCTTGAGTAAATCCTAAAAGTGGAACAATAATATAATAAATATATTTGAGAGAAAAAAAAAAAAAATTAATAAATAAGTAAAAGACAAAATTTAAAATTCGGAGATTGCGTTGACCTTCCTTACCTTTATGACAATAAGTGCACACAAATTTTCTTTCGATGGCATGATTCCGTATGTGCGTTGAAAGGGAAGATTTACGAGAAAATGTTTTATTGCACAGAGGGCAAGAGCCCTCTTCATTAAATATTAAATCCACCTAAAAAATTTGGGAAAATTAAAAAACTATTTTGCTTTTTCGTCTTCGTCTTCTTTTTTTTTTTTTTTTTTTTTTTTTTTTTTTTTTTAACTATTTTTCATTATATCTTCACTTTTTTAAATCGAAGAAAAATTTGCAAACATTTTTAAAAAGATTTCATTTTTCATTTCTAATCTACGCGAAGAAACCCATGAAAAGCTCACATTTGAATAAGAGAGATAAAAGAGATCAGCTTTTCGCTGCACTAAACTGTATTCTCAATATCTAGATTTTTGCCTACTCTTCTCGTTCCAAACTAAGCTTTCGAACAATTGCCACAAATTCGATGCGTAGAGATGTAAAACGTTGTTGATACCGGAGCGTAATCAAGTGATTCCAAGGACAATAACAAGTTTGTTGAAAAAACCGGCAATATTCTCTTTAAACTTTGGTCTTCAATATCATCTGCACCCATACAAAAATAAATCTCTCTCTTTTCTACCTAATAAATTGATGGATAATTATCAGGCGTTTATTTCACGTACAATATTTTATAAATTTTGTGAATGAAAATAATCTTCTACTTCCAGGTTAGAAAAGTGCCTGTCAAAAATCGTACTGATATTCATATTCGCCTCGCCGTCTGATGCTGTACCGGCAGTCATTTCGCGATCTTAACGAACTTTTCGGTGAGACCAAACACAATCAGCGAAAGTCGATGCAGAGAATATTTCGATCGTTTCAATTCGGGATAGATTAGCTTAGAAGATAAGCAAAGAGGAAGTCGACCATCGGATTACGATGACCAATTACTAATTTTGGCAGCTGTGGAAGGCTTGCGACAAAAGCTTGACAACTCGAATGCTGGCCGACAATTTCAATGTGAACCAGTCTTAACCATCGCTCGTAGTCTCAAGGAGATCAAAACGTAGATGGTGACTATGTTCCCGATTAATCATCATTCCTGATCAGTCATGTTCCTGTTGAATTGTTACGTTTCCTTTTTTCATAATAAGTCGTGTTCAAGAACGCGTGATAATTGTGCACCAATCTATTATAATACTTTTCAAACTGTTGCCGCGCACTTGCAAATAAGATGATGTCCTCTGATTGACTGTAACATTAGCTCAGTGATATTGCATGTAAATATTTACATTATATATGGCGTATTTACATATAGGCGACAAAGGTACATACTACAAATGAAAATCGAAAAACAATTTTCAATGAAAAAATAATTCAAATTTATTTTCTCTTCTAGTATTTTATGTATGTATTAGTATTGATTCCGTAACTCGAGACAGAGTAATAACGAATGGAATAGTAACGAAAAAGTAGGAAAAAATCGCTTACGTTCGTTGCTAGGGTCAATTTTTTTTTTACAAACTTATCGGTATCACTTGTTCTCTATATTCCCTTATTCGAGGCACTAATTGAACTTAAAAGCAACTCTCTAGCATTTATTAAATTTTAATCAACAAACAATCATACCTCAACACTTGGATCTTTTTCGCAAAACGAAAATTAATTTCAAGTTGAATTCTGACTCAGCTCAAGGAAGCGACTTAACGAGATCTACCTACAATGACGCAATTGAAGATTTTAATATGATAAAAAAATTCCTTTCTTTCTTTCTTTCTCTTTCTTTGTCTCTCTCTCTCTCTCTCTCTCTCTCTCTCTCTTTCTCACTCACTCTCTCTCTTTCTTTCTTTCTCTCTCTGTCTCTCCCTCTTCTCAACAGGTATAATGGATTAACAAAACGAACGCCTCGGCGAACTTTTTAATTTGCCTTGTATATACATATGAACATAATCCCCCTTACGTCGTCTTTAAACACAATTTTGTACGCACGATGCGATTACAGCTGAACAAAAAGTTTTAAGGAAGATCCATCCATCTCATGCAAGTTCAATATTTCAAAAAAAAAAAAGTTTATTTTGTAAAAATCACCTACTAGTGAACGGATGGATGATATCTGAGGGATAAAGTTTTAAAGAAAATTTATATAGACATGATTCTTATTATATCAATTTTCATTTAACTTTCAGTTATTAAGACATAAACATATATTCAAGACCTCGTTAAGTTTTTATGAAATTTTTATTCCGTAGATAAAGTGCTGAAGTTTATGTTTTAAAATGTAAAAAAGGTCAGATCCACACTGGGTTGGGCCAATAAGCAACACAAAATATAAAGGAATTTTCTTTCTTTTTTTTTTTCTTTTCAGAAAATCAATTTATATATTGGTATAAATGCGCGCAGATTTAGATATAAATTCTTAAATTGTTTATAAAAACGGCTACATTTTCCCCTTACATATATATATATATATATATATCAATTAGAAAAAAAAAAAAAAAAAAAATTCTTTAACTATCACTAAGCAATGTGACCTTCTGTCTATTTATACTTCTATCTCTATTTCTATTCCTATTTCTGTACTAATTAACAGGCGGCGCATAGATATTGAAATTATAAGCTCCATTACTTAACGATTTATCCATCCGCCTATTCTCGGAGACGCTAGCAAGAGCTTGAATATATGGATTTCACAAAAAAAAAAAAAAAAAAAAAAAAAAAAAATATATATATATATATATATATATATTATATCATTCGCTAAGGGATTCCTTCTAATCTTAATACATTTGTTTCGTTTTTCTTTTTCGTTTTCACTTAAGCTTACATTTCGTCGCTTAGTGTTTTTGTAAAATATTTCATATTTTATGTATTTTATTTATATATATTTATATATATAAATATTTATGTACATCTAATTGTTGTATGGTCTTCTCCAATTCGAAGGAGGACATGGTGATTTGTTGTAATTTGTTTTTAATACCGTTCTGGCGAGGACGGCGCGTTTGACGCTGCGGCTGCGATTATAATGTAATATGATGTGTGTAGTAAGTGAGATGGTTGGTGGGTGCATAACACATTTTATTTATTTATTTATTTTTATTTTTTTTTTTTGGTTTTTTTTTTTTTCGTATTATTTTTTTTAAAGAGAAAAAGAGAAAGAGAATAAATAACAGAAAAAAAAAAAAATACAAGTGAATTTTTTTTATCTTTTATTTTTTTTTTTCTTAAATTTTACATTACATATATATATGTATACAAATTTTTAATTGAGGGAAAAAACAGTATAAGAGCAAGAGGGAAAGGGTTTCTATTCGGCCGTAAGCCGAATTATCAAAAATTGCCCACCACCTATGCTGTTAAATTTTAAAAAGAAATCTTATACCTGCAAGTTTATCGGGATATATTGATTTTGCAGAGTGGGATCTGACCTTAAAAATCCAAAACTGAATATAATTGAACTGAACTGAACTGAGCTGAACTCAACTGAACTGAACAAAATTGAATCAAATTAAACGTTAGCAAAAATAAAAAGACGCAAATATTTTCAAAAGAAAAAATTGAAGAAAAATAAATAAATAAACGTTTGCCTTTGCGGAAAGCATGGCAACGAAACTATAAGAAAAACTATATCATCATAAACTGATTTCTGCCAAAAATTTCATTTCATCAAAAAAGTACCAAGAGTTATGAAAAAAAAAATAAATAAATAAATAATTAAAGCAAATTTTACAAATTAATTACATTTTCAGGTGAGAAATTGTGGCCCTAACACAGATTCGATTGTCTCAAATCGCGTTTTCCCGAAGATGATCGCCTTTTGGTCAAAAAACTCAATGAGTGTAAAAAAAAAAAAAAAAATCAATTTCATCTTAACCTTAAGATGTTTTTGCTTTATTCATTCGAGAAGACAAAGCGACAAAAGTCCCACTTTTAAACAACTTTTCCCTTTTTGGGCTTTCGTTTATATTTTTGAAAATTCACTTTTAAAACTCATTCACATATTTAATGCTAATAAAGTTGCCAATCAGGCCTTATAACCAATTATGCATCATGCTATGCTTTTACGCGAATATTGAATTAGAAGCAGATTTTTCACGTATCTATCTATAGAGCGATGATGCCTCTAATAGACTTCGAATGGAATCTCGAGACCTATTCCGCTGTTTACCGTATTTTACTCAAATTTCGTAGTCGGATAACGTCGGATAATGATCACTGGTTAGCGGCCACTTTACTGCGTTACTGCATGAGCTCATACGCCGGTAAATATTTCCCAGAGATTTTTTCATTATTTCACCTAAGAAGTTCGGATGGGCATTGTAAAGCTTAAAGCTTAAATTTTTTGATCAAGTAAATCGATATTATTCAAAAGTTGATAATATTCTTCCTGGTACTTTTTTGGCAAAATGAATAATATTTCCTGAACGTGTGAGGAGGCCATAATTTTTCCCACATAATTCTGAATGCGAAAGTGTGTCCGAATGCTTTTACCGTAAGCAAGATTGTGTTGCAATCAGACGGACATAGATCGCTTTAAGTAAGACTCAACTAAATTTAGGTTAATTAAAAAAGTAAAGAACTTTTAAGCTGGGTTTACTGTACACATCACTGGGTGTAAGAACAGACACACAAAAGTAAGATATAAAAGAAATAAAAAAAAGAAATGAAAACAAAATCTCGAAAATAAGGCCAAAAGCAAAATGAAAATGAGAAATAATAAAAACGAAAAAAATTTTTTCTTTAACACAAAAGAAATCCAATTTGTAGATTTAAGAAAAAGTTGAATAAGATTGCAAAACAAAAAAAAAAAAAAAAAAAAACAATAAAAAAAAGGCATTTTCATAAGAATTTTGAGGGAATTTAAAAATAAATCCGCCAGTACTTACCTCTTCGCTTTCTTCGGTATTTTGTAAATTTTCGTTAACAGCGTTTTGCAATTGTTGTAATTGCTGTTGTTGCTGTTGATTTAAACTGGCCGTGGTTGTGCCGTTAGTAGTAGCAGCATTAACTGCTGCTGCCGCCGCTACAGCTGTGGCCACTGCACCTACACTAGCTACGGCTGCTGCCGCTTGTGTGGCCGTCGTTCCGGTAACAGTTGGATAAAAGCCGTTACCGGTGCTGGTCAAATGTTCGGAGCACTTAACACAGGTGGGTATATTATAACCAGGGACTTGAAACAACTGCAAAGAACCGGAAAGAATTAAAGAATTTCTTCTATTCCTTATCATACATACATTAAATTTGAAACAATTTCAAGCGATTTCAAGCATATTGGAAACATCCTATGCATAAGAAAATACAGAGAGAAAGATATTAAAACGAAAAAAACAAAAAAAAAATTGAAGAATAAATAAATATCCAGAAAAAAAAATGTTTTAGGCAGCTCGTTGTTGTATACAAAAAATAACAAAAACAAAAAAAAACAAAAAAAACAAAATTGTGAGAAAAAAAGTAAGAAAAAAATGAAGAAATATAGTCACTGATTGCCTGCCTGGCCTGCTGCTGCTTTATTTTCTTGCTAGCTCCGCACATAGCCAACTAACTATTGTAAGGTTTTTTTTTTATTTATTATTTTTTTTTTTATTTTCATTTTTTTTTTTTTATTATCTTTACATCTCTATACCCCTCGCTTGTGCTTCTTTACTTTGTACGGTGTTTAAACACAGCAAAGAGGCAGCTTTAAAAAATAACGACAACAAAACTGAAAAACAACAACAACAAAAATCAACAAATAATATAAAACGAAACACATGAAATTAAAAAAAAAAAAAAAAAAAAAAGAAAAAAAAACATTGCGCGCTAACGAGTAGTAATATGGTGTGGAATAAGGAGCGTAGCTAACGAAAGGGAAAACTCTTTTAGTCATCTCTCAACTTACATTATCTACCCATTATTTATTAAGAACAATTCCTATTATCATTTATAAATTTCACTTAACTAATATACATCCCTTGTCCCAATAACCGGGGCACTTTAATACTGATTTTTAAAAAAATCACTCACTATTGGTTACTTATTACACGTTTTCGTGCAGCTTGTGCTAAATTTTCGCCAGCCTAACCCTTCTCCACCACAGACTAACAACAAGGGAAAGTCAGTGAAATAATTTAGGGTCCTAGACCGATATAGTATTAATGGTGTTTGTGTTATCTTCTAAGAATTCCTTAAATTTGTTCTTTCTGCTTAGCAACGTGTATATTTTCTTCTTAAGTTTTAAAATTACGAATGATTATCAAGCAGAATCTGTTCCCCAACTTCACTATTATAATAAAAAGATTTTTTATAAACAACATCAACCGCTTTTTCTTATTACTTTTCGTAGAATGTGTTCCGTAATACAATAAATTGTAATGGTCTATATATATATTCTAATCTCATCTTGGCCGTTTGCCCGTCGGAGTTTGAAAACTTTCGACAACGAACGCTACACCGTAGTACATAAAAATTTACCACCTATATAGGTATATAGGTATATCCGAGAGCTACATTAAAGTGTAATTGACCATGTGACAGACCCCTATTTAGCAATACATTTTACGATACTAATGCATTGATGTGTGCTCTCCCTAACTGTAACTATAATTTCAAATTTGTTTGTTAATGTTTCATCTAATTTGCATAAGTTTTCTTAAGTTTAAATATAAAAAAATTTCTATGTATTTGCTTTTTATTTAATATTTTAAACTAGCTTGCAGCAAGTCTTTCGTTTATATGTCTTAATAAGCAGTACTTTATCTGTAGATTTTGGTCTAAGACGAGAACTGAATCTAGTGCGTTAAATGCCAACAATTTTTTTCCAAAATTTTTTATAGTTAGTTTCACATCGAGGTTGCAAATAAATCATGCTCTCTGTCGTAAAGCATTAATTAATTAAGACCATGGGAATACAGTAGTGATTTAATTGAGAGTTTGATTTAAAAAAAATTGTAAAAAGTACTTTATAAAAATTTTGTTAAGATTCTGAAATATTAAAATATTGTAAATGATTGCATCATTACGGATTCAATGATATTAGTTGGTAATCAACACATATACCCTATCTGAGCTGATCTACATCTCTCTTCTCTCTTGCAGTATTAACACATAAAATACTATTTAAACTGCAAAAGAAGATTTTCTGTTTTTTATATACAGTCCAAGCTGTGCTCTTTTTTTATAGAATTATCCAAAAGTAGTAAATTCTTCTTCTCTTATACTATACATCATTTGTCCTTATCGTTTATACTATTCCATATATTTATTCCAAATTTTTTTTTCAATCACCCTTAAGTAACCCCCATTCATAAAGAACGCCACTGCTAGTATATTTTTATTTTGTTTTTCATACAAAAGAGTTCTTTTTCATTTTCATTTTCTTATTCTTATTTTTTTTTTTTTATTTATTTATTTTTTTTTTTTTTGTGCCGTTTATTATGGTAAAGGCTATATAGAGGATGGGAAGAACGGACTGTATGTGTAAAACTGTGAAAATTGAAAAAATTTAAAGAACTGAATTTATAGAAAAAAATTTAATTATAAATATGAAATTAAATAAAGCTTTAACTCAATGTTAATAATATATATTACCTTTATCAGATACAAAAAACAATATTTGATATTTTTTTTAATGTAACAAACACTTGTCGCTTTACCAGGTTTTTTTTTTTTTCTATTGGGTTTTTTTTTTCTTTTTTTGCCTTACAATAACAGACAACACACTCAAACCGCACCGTATAACATAAACACTCTTAATATCCTTTAAATGTAGAAGCAGCAAGAAAAAAAGCCTAACCAACAACCCTTGTTAAGTAATACAAAATATTGCTTAAGAACACAGTGATAAATTAACTCTGTTCAGAGTATAGAGTATAACAGTTATATGTTATAATTTCACTCTCTTGCGAGTATTTAATACACGCTCTTTTTTCCTCTCCGCAAAATCCTATGTGTATATATATAAAACAGAGTTGCACTTTTTTTTTTATATATTTGACTGTACTAAACTGTGTGAGAAAAAGCTGAAACCGAACTATTTAAGTTAGGAAAAGAATTCCTGTCGTATATGTTTCATTGTGTGCGTGCATAAACGGTCGTTTTTCTATCTAATACACAACAACAACAGCAACAACAACAACAACAACTGCTACTACTACTACTACTATTACTGTTAATAGTTGAATTGTAAAAAAATTCACGCACCCTTTTCGGTTGTATAGTTGAAATGGTGTTAGAGCTAATGAAAAATCTATGGGGGGAAACTAAATAGTACAACTGCGTTGCTTGCCTACCTACCTGCTGATGCTACTGTGCTTAGTTTATATAGTAAGGAGAAAATCAATAAAAACAACAAAATACACATTTTCACTGCAAAAACAAACCCCATCATAAAAAAGACGCGCGCAAATTGTTATTTTTCCCCCCAATAAGTACAAGAATTTTCTAACCAAAAAAACAAAAAAAGAAAAAAAATTGTGCAAAATGTTATAAAACTTACCGCTGCTGGTTGGAAACACAATCTACAAATGCTTTCCATGTCCTTTTTGAACAATGAGCAGAAATTTAAAAATTCCAAATTTCGCACAAATCATATAGAATCTCGTGTGTCTAAAACAACGCCATAACTATTCCCGGTGTTACGTTAAGTGTTCGGCTTTCAACACCGGGGGAGGTCTTGTGGTGTGAAACGAAAAAAAAAATTTACATAAAAAAATTCTTTTGCTTTTACTATGCCCTTAATTGCAATTAAACGAACACAACATAAAAAATTTCGCACAATTCCTTATTATTTTTGGCCAGCAGAGCAACTTTTTTTTAGTTTTTTCATAATTTCTTTTTTATTCTCTGAGATTTGACGTTTTGCTCGCTATGCTTGTCCCAACACGCTTTGCAACTTTAATAAATTTTTTCTAATTTCAATTTTTTTAATTCGTTGTATAATTTTAGAATTTCTTTATGAATTCTTAAAAATTCTTTAATGGGTTTGTTTATGTTGAGCGTTTAGCATTTTTTTTTCTTTTTTTTTTTTTAATATTTGTTTGAAAAAACTTCTTGACTCTAATCAAAATAATAATTTTTTTTCTATGCATTACAGTACTGCCAAGTTGACGTAATTTGATATCGCTTTCGGGATTAAAAGTAATGTTAGGGGAAAGAATTCAACGAAAAAGCAGATTAGATAGGGATCAAAAAACTAAACCATACTAAATTATTATATAAAAATTTATATTATAGTATATAAAATTTTGCTGGCCTCGCCTATCAATTGACTGCATTTCTCATTTTTTTTTTTTTTTTTCGAAAAAAACATATAAAACCATCAAATGAATGAAATACGTTTAGCATTTTACGCAAGTGAAATATCCATAACAAAAAATCTGTAATAGCAGACAATAAGATTAATAGCTTCCGAATTCTCCTGTGGCTCCAAGGAAAAATTTTTATATGTTTAAACTCGTTTAATTATAAAGCAACTTACTGTTATTCGATTATTGTGTTTTAATTTTATTTCTCTGAGCAGTTTTGAGACCTATGAGAAAATCTTATTTACATTTTTCCCTCAAAATATGTCTTTTCTTCTTCTCAAACAAATCATAAAAGTAGTTTAAAGTGGTATGATTTGACCGTTATTGCATTTCTTGTATATATATAAAAAATGAAGTTTCTGAAAATAAATTCCTCAAACTGGATGTAGTTGGATTAGAAAGAAATACAGCTTATATAAGTACAAAATATTTCCAGCTTATATTCAATGAAAGCGAATTGTAATTTGTTTTACGTTGTTCCCATAATATATTCGAATTCAATTATTTCAATTTTATATAACTTATAATTTGGGATTTTCTGAGATAATCGGTAAAATTATCCCATACATAGGCAAATTTCATTAGCGTACTCTATTCTGCCAAAAATATTTCAATTCTCTTAATCTATATAAAAGCAAAATGTTATTAACAGTTAAAGCAGTTGACAGTGCTGTAGTGTGAAAAAGAAAAAAAAAGAAAGCTATTTATTATAGAGAAAACGCGTTTTTAAATCTATAATATAAGTTTAGTCGAAGAAAGGAACTTCATCTTTTTACCAAACCCTAAGTAATATCACTAATTTCTTCTGAATTAGAAATAATTTGGAAGTTTGTGGGTAAGAAGGAAATAATTAATATTATATAAAATTTTTCACAACTTAAAAGAATATTCGTTAATATGAAAAATGGTTAAGTAAATACAATTTTAACCATTCCATAATTATAATTACTTTTAACAGCTGTTCTCAGCTAAACATTGCCTGAACAAAAAAGTAAGTAATAAAAATTGAATATTTTATTATTTACTTACTTAAAACATCACGCAAGCATAATAATCTCGGTATGCAACGTAAGCGTAAGTATCGTATAATCAAAACTCGTAAAGTGCGATCGGCAATAGTACTGACATATTAATAAGTTATTATTATTACGATATTATGCATTATATATAAAATAACTTCTGACCTATTGAAAGGCAAAACTCACTGCAAATCTTTTCAGAACTATTTTTTTCATTAGTTTGAGTTCTTCTAGGTCCAAAAATAGTATTCTAGTTTCTCTGTATTCACGTTCATTTCAAAGTATTTAAAGTTGGTGTACGTTAATCGTTACGAGCGTTGAACGATTCGCAGAGTATCGTCGTCGAGGAATTACAGGTTTAGTGAGAATTTTTTAATGCTAACAATGAATTCGGCCATATAGCGATTTTCTTCCTGTTTACTTCTTTGTTTCGCAAAGTGTTAAGTGTAAAACGTACGATTCTGTCTCTCACAGATGTAGAAAGAACGAAGGAAAAGCATTTGAACACATCTGGCTCTTTTAATGGGCCCGGGATGGCAGGCTAACAATAAAAAATTCATTATTATAAAAAGGAATGTCTATAACGCGTTTTAAAATTTTAAACGCGTTTTTCTCGAAACACGATTTTTCAAATCGGCTTGCAGCATAACTTTTCCAATTTTCATTCTAATTTTGAAGGATACAACGATTGTAATGCCCAAAAGGAAAGTCCAGAGACTTCCCAGGTTATATACACTTGATATTCGATCAAGAACAAATGTTGAATCGATTTAAGCATATCGCAATGTCTGCGATAAATATTCCTCTAGCTGCAAAAATGAAGCTAACGGCTTCAAAGGCATTGAAGTTCCTGCACGCAGGTTGGTATTGAAAATGGGTCAAATCGGTCAAAGGACACGCTCACAGCACCACGTAAACAGAGAACACCTTTGTTTTTCAAAAAGGAATATACAAATTTTCAAAGAAATTGAGTGTTTTTGGTACCAGTCGTCCCTTCCCGACAAAGTGAAAGGCTCCCTGCTACACACCAAAAGTTCTTTCGGAAGAAACTTCATTTCGTCACAGATGTGTGTTGCCGCGTTACCAATTCAAAAAAAGAAAATTATTCTGAGATTAAATATATCGGCGCAATTGAACTTGAATAGTTATCTGACTTTTTGTACATAGTATTATACGTAAGTGGATGCCTAGAGGGTTCATCATCTTAGCATATACGCATTTCATCACTTTAATAGAATAGCGAACTAAAGGAAAGTAGAAGGCTGGTCGTCATATGTAATATGCGATCTTCGCTTTAATTACACGACATGATAATAAGACTTCATGCCCAGCATAAGTGCAATATAACGGCAATTGGCCTCAAGATTGTAATTTCATAATGTTAAGTTGAGCAAATGTTCTTCAAAAAAAAGGGGGAAAAAAAAACAAAAATTATATTGATCAATGACTTCATCTTTATGAAAATCTTCACTTAAACTAACAAACGTATCCTGACGCTGTGTCCGGTCACCATTGATAAGACAACACTATACGCTTTCTTGTCATAGTGTTTATGACTTTGTATCTCAAATTTCATATTCCGGAGGAGTAGTCATCTCAATATCAAGTCTGCTGTACAAACTTTCTCATGATAAAAATAAATAATTGTTAAACATGTAAAACACATGCGCGATTTTGTTCAGAATACCGCATGTTTTGAAGTATTAGATAAATGATTTCTAACATTTGCTTAATTCATATTCTATCAACGGTTTGCTGGCTAATATGCGATGCGCTGGATTTCTAACATCGAAATTTCTATGGCGGAAATGAACAAATCGAAAAGTAGCTGGCATAATGTCACTAGGTAAGGTTTCTTTATTATTAATTCAAAAATAAGTTTTTTAAAATATTCGTTTGTCTTATGATTCAATGTAATTTTCCGACTTAAATGCTTGAATGCTTATGAGCTAGCCAAATATTTTCCCTAAATCGATCATTTTTATACCCTGCACCACTTGTGGTACAACGATATGTTAAATTTGTGTCTGGATGACCGCATGCAACACCCAGATAGACTTGAGACAGACAGACGCACCTTTTATTACACTGATTGATGCAGTATCATTTTCTGAATCGACTTAAGTTTGTCTTTGTGTCCGATGAATGTCCATGTATTTTTTTATTCAACCTACAAGTCGCGATTTTTAAGATATTTTGGTAAAATTTTGTACAGCGACCTACTTTGTCTCAAGAATTAAGGAACACTGTTGAAAATGGTTCGAATCGGTCGATTTTTGTACAATAGTATTTCTTGGACTCCACTCCACATTAGATTGTTCATGAATAGTATACCGTTCAGAGTAAAGTTGAATTTTTAATACTCTGTGATGAAAATTTATTTATGATAGTGATTTAGCAAAAAAATTAACAATACCGGAATTTGTATCACATAGGGGCATTTTTTAGATCCTAACATATATACAGGTTATCATATAAAGCAAGCCCTGGTATGGACAGAAAGTTTAATTTCTAGTTTTTTGTAACGGTAACTGAAAAATTTTATTAAACAATAGTATTTGTTATTATTCTGAATTAAGTTTGCAAAATTTGGTTAACGTCATGTAACATTTTGGGGATTCCTCTAATATACAGACTTTCATGGAAAGAAATTGCATGAAAATAATATGTAATTTTTGGTACATAGTTACCAAAATGAGTGAATAAACGTACTAAGCAAAGTGATATATGGCGTCGAACGGTCGACCTTGCCCAATTATAATGTTTTTAATTGTTTTTGTATTTTAGTGCATCCTATGAATGATTGGAAAATTAATACCGTTGATATCATACCCGATAGCAATCGAGTGTGACAGTATTTGAGCACAATTTTCCACTATCTCCACAATGCAATATTTCAAGTTTGCTGCTATAAGAGATTTCGTGTTAGTTGAAAACAAAAAGCGGTAAAAAAAATATTTTAAAAAAATATTTACTAAATTAAAATTTTTTTAATCACTAATTGGTTTTTGTCCTATACTTTTAAACTTTCTGTGTTTGAGCTTTAACTTTCTAGCCTGACTTTATTTTCTTTTTGCTTCTTTTTATTTATATTTGTTTGCTCATTGCACGTACTTGCTCTCTTCTTCTTCTTCTTCTTCTGTGACTTAGCAAATCAACAGCCGATGATTCACTGTGTTGAGAAAAAAAAAAGAAAAAATTCTCTTCGAAAAAAATTCTTTCGATTGTGTATATATGTGATGTTTAGTTTTTCATCGTAGAAATACATTCCACAAAAATTTTCCGCTGTCTGTCTCTCTCTCCCTCTCTCTCTCTCTCGCTCTCTCTCTCTCTCTCTCTCTCTCTCTCTCTCTCTCTCTCTCTCTCTTACTCTCTGCTAAGCATACCCATAAATCTGCAGAGGGATTGAGTTTTTTTTATGTCTACTATGATAGCAGGTATACTTTCCAAAATTAGGACCTATGTAGGAACAGAATTTGTGAAAATAGATTTGAGATAGACACTGAATGGCCATCTGCTTCTTTCGTATTCTTTTTATATCCACCATTGGAAGATAGTCATTTTTTCCATAATGTATGTAACGCGAAAAAGAAATGTTCACAGGCCCTATTAAGTGTATATATTCTTGGTCGGCGTAAAATTCTGAGTTGATTTATCGATTTATGAAAATGTCGACTTCAAATTCGGTAGAAATATTTGAAGTTTCCGCAGGCAGG